TCGATATCGACTAAAATATAATTTAAATTCAAAATATTAAGTTGTTTTTTAAATAGTAATTCCAAATTAATCATTTAACTTATAGAATAAAAATGTTATTTCGATAATATTTACGGAATTTTCTTTCTGTTTTATAGATGATAAATGGAATGTATTCAGTTTTCTCAACCGTCATCCAACTGAGTGGCGTTCTTGGAAAGAAGAATTGTCGAAGTGGAAATAAAACAGTTCACTAAGTATCGAAAGAAAGCGTTCATCTTCTACACTATAGAAAGAATTTACAACATTTAAATTGTGTTATGTGTATACATAGATGTTTCTGCGTTGTAGTATATATTTAGATTGACGCGCATGTAATGTACAGTACACCACGCATCAAGTAACGTCAAAAAAACAAGGAACACTGGCACAAAGAACACCTTAACCGTAACTTAGCTGCATTTATGCAGACTCGAGAGGAGAGAGAAATACCAGAAAAAATTCAACCTGTGCAACTTTCGAGGACAGTTTCTCTCTTTCGCATAAACTGCATCGCGAGTAGAAATTCTGATACGAAAAGTTCTCTTTCGCTTGTCTTTTCCTAATTTCGCGTCTGTATAAACGCAACCTTATGCAAATTTAAAAAATTTGGATGTCGTGAAACTGTAAAAATGCTACTGTAAACACGTGAATAAATTATGAACAGTTAGAGAGTTAATGTGAAATGATGTTTGATCTTGGCGACTAGTAGTACTTCATTTTGACTTCAATTCAGATGTACTTCTATCAAGTACAGTACATCTGAATAGAAACATTTCAACGCAGTTTACAATCAGGCAAGACCGTACGCAAGAAAAGTACGATAAGGCTGCGAATGACAGCAGGCCAGGAATTTTAGTCGTTACCTATTATATGAGATAATTCTACTTTCGCACATATACGACTATACAAGTAATGATTGTGTATATTTCATTGAATATGTGACAAATAAAATTCCTGTAATATGTAGATATAGAAAGTGCGTGTTTTTGCGTAGGTATTTTCTTATAGCACGAGTTATTGTACAAATGAAATATTTGTTGTAGCATTAAAGATATCATGATGATGAATATTGGCACATTTGTGCGTGTCCTGAAATGCATGAATTTCGAATTTTAAATTTCTGTCTAGAGATCGTTGAACACCGGTGCATTAATCACGAATATTAATAAGTGTTTTCCAATATTATGAAATCTATGTTTTTTAATTAAACATGATATATGTATCCTTTAACGTGTGGTTTGAGTTTTTGATATTGCAAAACGTTGTAAATAAATCATCGTGTACAATTACAAAGCCCATGGCCGTAAAATGTCAGTGAGGTAACGCTAGGGTGTCACAAATTCTATCAAAATGACCAGCTCCCATCGAAATTCACGCTTAATAACACTATAAATTATAAAATCTGGTGTTTAATTTACAGTACATTTCAACGTTAAAGTGATAACAAATTTTTTTAAACCAGGAAGAATGATACTCTCTTATAAATTAATCCAAAACGGAATCAAGATTTACCATGAATACCTAGAGTAGAGGTATTCATGTATTTACGTGTATACATCAGGTGTATACGAATTTATTGAGTAGTTTTCATTTGGACATATCTCACGTACTCTCTTGTTAAAGATAAACGCAGCGCTGAATGATAATTATAAATGCGTTTTGCTTTATGATTAAAAGTCTGAGATGCATAACCTACTTCTCAGGCACTTAAATTGCCATAAATTAAATATAAATAACGGGATAAAATTTACATGTTACTTTTATGTTGAAGTTCTAATATTAATTCTTTCCATAGACAGACTATAGGTAAGTGTGTCTAATTTTTTGACATTTCAGTTTATTTTAAAACATGTTTTTTCCTTCCATACATTTAAAATTTTATTAGTAATATTTAATTTTTATAAATGGAAATAAAATTCTAAAAAAAAAAAAAAATTGTTATATACGAAGTAACTGGCAACACTGAATGATTATTTATTTTCCCATGCTGGAAATTGACAGATATTTGTAGGAGACGGTGATGCTTGAGATGTAAAAAACAAAAAAAAAAAAAAAAAAAAATTTGGACACTTAAATATAGCATTTCTTACACTCGTAACAGGAAATTTATACACTCGTAAAAGCGGGGAGGGAGTAAAGGAAATGGTTTATTTTTAACAAATACGGCCGAAATTAATGGAATTTTCGTAATCCACAAGTAATTTATTATGCAATAAAAAAAACTTGAAATACGGCAAACATTTACATAACCGAACTCGATAAGCCAGTTTGAATAAAATTAACTTGTAAATGCATAAATTAGACCCGTTATTTGCCTTCTAACCAGCCAAATTCCTCTCATTTATTGATTTAAATTAATCATCCGGGTTAAGCAAAGATCGTTATCCTTAATAACTGTCAAAATATTAAATATTTACCGATTTTATTATACAGATTTTGCAATTTTNATATCGGATAATTAAATAAAACTTTTGACAATTCAAGCCATTGTAGGTACAGATGCGGCTCTGAATGATTTAGTTGGCTCCCAACTGTTGGCGCACTCAGGGGGGCCAAGGGGCCCTGGCATCCTCAAAGTAAAAGGAATAAAAAAAGCTGGTAAATTTTCCAAAAATGTTTTCCCAATTAAAATTTTTTTACTTATATTATGTGGTGTCTTCTATTTCTGTGTTACTTATTAATTACCAATCGTAAGGTGGTAATTTTATTTGATTCGCATTAGAAAATTTATTATTCATTTGACTTGCTGCCCTGAAGGTTAAATCTTGAGTGTGCCACTGGTTCCAACAACTGGATTCGGAGCTGCAATTTCACCCATTGTAGATGACAGAAATTAAAATTTACATTTTGTTTTAAGTCTTTAAAATTTATAAATATTTTATTTCTTACATTATTTTTCAATAACTTACTTCTTACTAAAAAAAGTGAGAGAGTGTTAAGCGATAACCTTATTAAAATTATATAATTGAATATATACAAAATTTATATAATTAAAAAAATTTATATATATGTTTTTTTTATAAGTTTTCTCTGTTAGAATCCTTCATTTGTATCTGTCAGAAAATATTTTATATAAATTATTCTTATTGTAATATTTACTGCAATTATAATAATTTGAAGGGAAATTTTTTGTTTAGTACATGTTATTTTCAGTAGTATTTATACCATATTTCCAAAAGCATTTATTGCAACTGGTATATCAAAAATTAATACTTCTTATACTTAAAATTAATACTGTCTTTGTCATTTCAAAAATTAATAGCAAAATCATAACTAATTAGTTAGATTTTTGTCATTATTTCATCAGATTGTTTAGATATTTGTACTAAATATGAACAAAACAATATAAAAAAAGAAATAGAAGAAACTAAATTGTCTTCATTTTCATCATATTCAATCACCAGGAACAAAAATAGTCTTCCTTTGAAGAGATAACCTCATTAGAAGCATAGGCTTTAATAAAATAAAGATATATACATAATTAAAATTATGTTCATATTTTTAAAGTTTTTTGGCTTATCATCAGTGAACTTTTTAAATGTTTTAAATAATTTTGCAAATGTATAGTCCCTAATAAAATGTAATCTCTGTGAAGGAAGATTGCTTTTGTTCCTGGTGATTGGATGTGATGGAAATGAAGATGTCTTAGTTTCTATTTTTTTTATATTGTGAATGTACCATCTGTCATTTTAATTGAAAATATGAATAAAACATTTTATTGTGATGATATACAGTATAATAAAATATGTAATCAAAAATAAAATGTAAATTAGATATTATAAAATAATACAACTGCTTCTAGAATACTTCCTTATGCACTTGATTTAAGGTTGTAAATATATTTCTTTAAAACAAAGAAATTTTACAATTAATCTACTTTCTTCAATGAAATACTAATTTAATTCATTAAAATTCTATTTTTTGTATATTAAAAATAATTAGCAGAAAGAATATGCCTTTGAAATTCCTGCAAATCAGATTTATTCAAACAAATGTTTTTAGCCATAATTTAAAGGTCTTCCTCAGGTTCTTAATAGAACATCAATACATAAAAATATGAAAATAATAATAATTTCAAATTACAAAATGTTAATATAATTTAAAACCATTAAAATATACAAATATATATAAAATTTTAATATAATAATTAAAAAATAAATATTAAACATTTTATCATTGTTATTTAAAAGATGGAACAACCAGGCTACATGGGACAATGTATTCACTAACATCAGGATTTATTAGACAACTCCAAATCAATGTAATGTTTAAAATATTATCTTCCTTACAAATTTACATCACATTTGGAGCCTCCAATAAATCTGGCATTTGTGAATCATTGTTATTTTAAACTCATGTAGATTAAATATTTATAAAATTTGATATTGATTTTTATTGCAAAATTTGTTGACAGAATTACTAAAATTACCATATTTTTTGTATTACTTATCAGTGAACATGTGCATGCTATTAATTCTTAGGCATTTGTGTCCTTATTATACAATTTTATTATTTAAATGTCTACTAGGACAGATCATATTATTAGGATTTATTATACCAGTGTCCAAGTCCTGCAAAATGAGGAAATGTATCCAGAATAAAGGTATAACCAGACTTGGACAAAAGGTATAATATTTGGACACTGGTATAATAAGTCCTAATAATATGATCTGTTCTAGTAGACACTTAAATAATAAAAATGTGCATGCTATGTTTAATTATCTCATTATAACTTCACTGTCTGAATAAATTATATAGCAGAATAGTCTTGCATAATCTGAAGTATTCAGATGCTATAAATGATCACTGGTATGCCAACATTTCGTCAGTTCATATGCAAAATCTATAATGCACTAACTAACGTTTATGTTATATGAAAATATTAATAAATGTATATTATATTAGCAAAGATGCACATGGTTCATAATTACATTTATTTTATACTTACAAATATAACTTATACTTTGTTCTTATTTCAGAATTTTATCTCTGACAGTATGTTCCTTAGTGGTTTATTTAGCTTATTTTCTAGTCGAAGCTTACATTTATAAAACTTTGGCAATAAATGGTGCTGCATTATTTCCTGTAACAGTTAGTGGTATGTATGAAACAATAATTTCTATAAAATGCTTATTTTAATTTAATTTGTAATTTATATTGTTTAACTTAAGTTAATTTGAAATATTTAAATTAATATCATTGTTATAGTTATTATTTTGATATACACTATCCTATTATTGATATCCAGTTATTCACTGGTTTATAAGTAATCTTTTCTTATTGAAAAACAAGTAGCAGAGTAAAACTTTTTCTCTACATTGTAGTCTCTAATTTTTTTTGAAATTTTCACATTGTGTTTTTGTATTTTATTAATCATTTCCTTAGTCATTCTTCAAAATAGTAACCATTTTAACTGTGTTTTGGAAATCATTTTTTGTTTTTTATTTTGATGTTCATTTTATCCTAAGGACTACTTTAAAAGTCTGGGTTGTAAATTGACTATTTACTTTTTGGACATTTCAAATTTCCAATGCAGTCTGTTACAACATAATTTATAAGATATGGTGTTTAGTTCTGTTGATAATGGTATAGGCCATTTTCAAAAATATCAATCAAGAAAATGTTCTGAATTGTTTTAAAGTTTTCTGCTTCTGAAATTTATCTTGAAAAAACTATAATGAGAAGATAATTAAATCTTGTGGATAATAAAGAAATTAAATAACATCTTGAAGTATTGAATTTAAGAATAATTTATATTCACGTGCTAAAACAGTGTTAAAATTATCAGATTATAAATATTTGATTTAATTTTAGAATCGTAATTAATTTTTAACTAACATTACAATGTTCTTTCTTCTAAGTAACATGGTGTGTTTTCAGAGACTGCTTAGTTTAATTTGTATTTAAAATTGTAACATTTGAATTAAGAGGATTTATTCAATTTGAAAGAGAAGAATATACATTAGTACTACAAAATAAGATTAATTTTTGAGCACCTTTGAACTCCAATAAAGTAATTTATTTCTGAAACTAACATTTTCAACTGTTAAATTAATTAAAGTATCTATAACTGTGAGGCAGATAAGCCCTTACTATTATCTGCCTCACAGTTATAGATTTTTAAATTAATTTAATTATACTTAGGGCTAAAAGCAATTTCTGTAATTTTCAACTGTGTTTAACAACAATCATAAGGTTAATTTGATTGATTCGAACATTAGACTCAAAATGGAAAATTTAAATTTGCATAAATATTAAAAAAATGATTGGTGATGGTATGTATTACATTACAAATGGAATTTATAAAGTGCTTGACAATAAACATTTAATTAAAATACCCTGTTAATGTGCTGCCAGGGGTAGAATGTCTACACATGGAGATTATGATTGTCCTAAGATTGAGATTCTTCATAGTCAGATTTTCAGGCATTGAAGATTGTTTCCAGATTCTTATAATTGATTGCTTTGGACTTTAATGAGGCCTTATAAGTTTCTAATTTTTTAGATGTTTCAATTTGATAAGGTCCTACTTTGGTATTAGCTTGATGTTTTTAGTGGCAGAAGCAGCTAAGGCCATGATGTCTTCCAATTGCTTATAAATGCACAGTTCTTAATACTCACTGTGAGGGATTGCATAGTTGCTCCAATATGTACTAATTCTTTGTTAAATCTATTATTTGTGATGGGGATGCACTCCAAGGAGGCATTTCCTATCTGGGGATACTAGGCATTTCTCAGTAGACTGTATACTGTTCTATTCCTTCTATACACAGTTTATACCTAAAATTTTATATCTTTGGCATAACCTTTTATATCTTTGGAATAACATAAAAATTTCTTATGAAGAATTTTTTGTTATTTTAACTTATACGAGCAGTGGTGATATTCGAAATAATTGACAAAGGGATCGCTAACAGAAAATTTTTCCTTAAACACCTTAAACCCCAAGCCCGAGATATCTCGGGCAAGTTACATAGCATTACATAAAACTCGGGCGTTTGGACCCACTAAAAGTTTTTGGTTTTTTGTATTTTTGGAATGTTTTTTAAGTCTCCAAATTTTTTCAAAAATTTTTTCCCGCGCGAAAAAATTTATCACGATTTTAATTTACCTTTAATGACGCACGATTTACGCTTAATTGCTTTTTAATTGTTTTTTAAATGGAGTTTGATATCAAATTTCATTCATCGTTCTAAAGTTGTAGTGCACAAATTTTCCTTCGGTAAGTTATTTAAAGCTAGTTTCTGATGTCAAAAACGACCTCCGATAGTTTTTAAATTTTTTTAATTAATAGATTTTATTATATATAAGTTTAATTAAGTCGGGGGGTCAGAAATCGCAATAAAATTTTTAATTTTTTAAAAATATACGACCAGCTAGTATTTACCCTACTATAAACCCATAGCCTCCCGAGACTTCTATGAGAACGTCCCGGGAAATCCAACTCCAGCTATGATCAAGGTCATCCAGCTGTTTAAACAATGACACATCAGCGTCAGATTTCACAGAAAGACAAGACAAAGGAAAATAAAATCTGAAGCTTTTTCTTCAGAATTAACGCATTTTTTTCGTTTTTTCAGTTTTAAGTATTTTTTATGTTTAATTACATTAATATCAAAAATTGCTAGAGTTCCAAGGAGTTAACTGCTTTCCCTATGACTTTTTCTCAAGAAAAAACTTTTCTAAATTTTATCATTAGGTATTATTATAATAATAGACAGATGTCATCGTTTCTCGAAATACAATGTCTTTTTTATTTCGCTGTCGATAGCCCGACACGTGTTCCGCAGCCATTTTGTATTTTCTCGCGCGCATGGGATTGTGGGATCCCTCGTATGACTGGACTTAGTTTCAAGAACTCTCTTGAGTTGATCGCGATTAAGGCTGCGCACACACTAGGCGTTTTTAAACGCCTAATGTGTACGCGTGTTTTAAAGAACCAAGAGTTCTACATAGGCATACATACTCAAATGCGTGCTTTTAGCCAAGCACGTGTTAAACGCGCATTTATAGATTTTTCTTAAAACGCGCGTTTTTCGAGCGCTTTAGTAGAACTTTTGGTTCTTTAAAACGCGCGTTTAAAAACGCCTAGTGTGTACGCAGCCTAAATCTCGTTTCAGTCGAGATTGAAACGGTTGATGGAGGTTATATTCGAACGGCGTACAAGGGGAACATAGTGAACAGGGTATAAGGCTCTAGTTTAGTAGTGTTACAGAGTATAATACGTATATTTTAATATATTTTTAAAAGAAACAAAACCGCTGAGAAATGTTACGTGTGTTTAACAACGGGTTCGGAAAACTTTGAAAATGTTAACAACGGGTTCGGCCGAACCTGTGCGAACCCGCTGAATATCACCACTGTATACGAGGGTCATTCTAAAAGAAAAGAACTTTTTGATCTGACAAGCTGTTCAGTTCTCCCACACCCTCAACTGCTGCATCATGAACCTTCCCATGCTTTCACGCCAGTCTGATGTTAACAGTGAGCCACAACAATTGTTTACTGTTTACGGTGTGATTTTGAAATGTGTGACAAAATTAAAGATTCCACCAAGTGTGAGGTTTGTAGTGTAATACTCTTTTTGAATGCGAAAAAAGTCCACCCTATCGAAATTTACAGACAGATAACTGAGGTTTATGGTAATGTGATGAATGAAGCTACAGTTTGAAACAAACGGTAGGGATTGTTGTCCAGAGGCATCGTGCTTCTTCAGGATAATGCACGTTCGCATGCTGCTGCGTTGACGAAGAACTTGCTTCAGCAGTTTAAGTGGGAAGTTTTTGAACATCCTTCTTATAATCCGGACTAGGCTCCGAGTGATTACATCTTTTTCCAAAATTGAAGGATTTTTTAGCTTGGAATCACTATGGAAGTGACAACGAACTGAAAGAGGCCGTTAATGACTGGTTCAAGAACTTGGCGGTAACTGAATGTGCAGAAGGCATAGAAAAGCTGATGATACACTATGACAAATACTTAAATTTGTATGGCGACTATGTAGAAATATAGCTAAGATATCATATGTGTTGTAAAATAAGTTTTGTTTCATTATCTTAAATAAAAATATCTAGAGAAACAAACATTCTTTACTTTTAGAATGACCCTCGTAGAATTATTGCAGAATTATGTATGATGTATGGTTTGAGATATAAAAAAAGTTTATGAAACTTTTATAATGCATTGTTTAAAATACTATAAAACACATGTTTTTGTTATATTTATATCTAATTCTTTTAGCTAAAAGTGTAGTTTTAATAAGAAGAGCAATATCTTAATGAAAATTAACCTTAAAATAACAAAAGTACTTGCTACATGTATTTTTGTTATTTTATGGTTAATTTTATTTAAAACATTGTTCCTGTCATTAAAACTGTGTTTTTTGTGATTTACACAAAATGCAGGAAATTTATTATTTACTTGATTTTTTTAATTTAAAAAAATTACAAAAACTATATAAGTAATAGTAAATCATAATNATTGTGTTTTTGTATTTTATTAATCATTTCCTTAGTCATTCTTCAAAATAGTAACCATTTTAACTGTGTTTTGGAAATCATTTTTTGTTTTTTATTTTGATGTTCATTTTATCCTAAGGACTACTTTAAAAGTCTGGGTTGTAAATTGACTATTTACTTTTTGGACATTTCAAATTTCCAATGCAGTCTGTTACAACATAATTTATAAGATATGGTGTTTAGTTCTGTTGATAATGGTATAGGCCATTTTCAAAAATATCAATCAAGAAAATGTTCTGAATTGTTTTAAAGTTTTCTGCTTCTGAAATTTATCTTGAAAAAACTATAATGAGAAGATAATTAAATCTTGTGGATAATAAAGAAATTAAATAACATCTTGAAGTATTGAATTTAAGAATAATTTATATTCACGTGCTAAAACAGTGTTAAAATTATCAGATTATAAATATTTGATTTAATTTTAGAATCGTAATTAATTTTTAACTAACATTACAATGTCTTTCTTCTAAGTAACATGGTGTGTTTTCAGAGACTGCTTAGTTTAATTTGTATTTAAAATTGTAACATTTGAATTAAGAGGATTTATTCAATTTGAAAGAGAAGAATATACATTAGTACTACAAAATAAGATTAATTTTTGAGCACCTTTGAACTCCAATAAAGTAATTTATTTCTGAAACTAACATTTTCAACTGTTAAATTAATTAAAGTATCTATAACTGTGAGGCAGATAAGCCCTTACTATTATCTGCCTCACAGTTATAGATTTTTAAATTAATTTAATTTA